TCCCCACCGGAGATATGAGATGTTAAAAATGGCCGATTTGGGGCCCAGAGCAAAGTTTGGAAGCTCCTGGAAAATTTTGGAAACTAGGTACGGGATTCAAAACTAAGTGATTATATTCCCCATATAGGTAACAACAAATGGTAGAAATCACAGATCTGATACTTTCCCCCTCCCATTGGTTTTTGAAGGTCAAAAATAGCGTTTTTCCCAAAATCGATAGGTAAGTTTCAAGTTTAATTACACCTACAGAAAGTGAGCTGAGTAAAAACTTGTAATAATATGATTTGTAGTCCATATCATGAGGAACAAATAGCGTTTTTATTGGAGTCTGTAGCTTCAATAGTTATCGAGATATGGAAGATAACGCAAACCTCCATTTCAGCCGAAAACGCGTTTTTTCGCATTATAAAAACGCCTGTACCGAGAGAACTGAGCGGATTAGAATTTTTTTAAAAATTTTTTTGTAGTATGAAAATATGTATAAATAAGTGTACAAAATATAATTTTTTTTAAAAATGGTGAGCGACCTTTCTGGATGATTTCACATGGAATGACCCCATAGGGTTGTGAGATGTTGAGGTTCCCACATTTTCTCTAGACAGTTGGATCATACATGGCAGCAAGGTTGTCAGCCTTAGCGCCGACAGCCATTTACCCCCAAGAACATTTCAAGAATATTCCTGGTACTCATTTCTGTTAGAGGCTGAGTTGACCCCAGGGCCATAGTGGGGCTGGAAGGATTAGGTCAATTGAAAAAAATTCAATGACTTCATCGGGACTTGAACCCACAACCTTCCGGCTTGTAGCAGTGCCTCAACCAATTATGCTACCGCGTGCCGCTTTCCCCATAAAAACCTATATTTTTGGTTAACATCACATCAATCCTATAACAGATGTCATAATTTTACTATCTCCCAGAATACAATACTTGGAGAAAAGCATAAATCACAAAGTTCCTTGATACGTAACATCCCCCACTCACTACTACTTCTGTTAATATCAGTTCAGATGTTTCCCTTAATAAGTGAGATCTAATGTTCTCACAGCAGTGAATACTCAGATTATGGTTTTCTGATAGCTGCAGCAGGTTCCTTTGAGATGCTGGCACCTGTCTACTAACTATACTGAGTCAGATCCCAGAAGACTCTATCTGAATTTTCCTAAACAGTTTGTTCTCAAATACTTCTGACGTATCTTCTTCTCAAGAAAGATCTTCTTCCACAGTTTTCTTTAGTTATTTTATGATGCTGTCTGCTGCTAGATATATAGTGTTGAATTGCATGATGACAGACAAATGATGACCTGAGATACTATCCCATCATTTGCTTGGAGGACTGGGGAAAACACAAAAAATCTGTCAGAACTGCAAGTGTCATAGTTGAGATTTGAACAAAGCATCTATTGAACAAGTCTAGAGTATTAATGCTTTTCCAACCCACTCAGTCTCTACTCTCACAGGGGGTTAGTAAAATAACTGTTTCATACATCAACATAAATTTCCATACTGATTTAGTATGCAAAGAAAACAGCTGAAAACTGAATTCAGATGACAATGCAAAATTTTGAAACACAAATTAGGGTAGCCATTTCACTTAATGGATAAAATTAATTTCAGTATTACTTCAAATTAGTAACACTTTTCCATTTTGTTTTATGTCCTGAATGTAAGATGTCATACATTTTAAATAAGATTCACATGAATGATCATAACACACAACAGACTGAGAGCAGTAATTGGACACAATAACATTTCTTGTCATTGTCACAATGTACAGCACCCAAAAATTCCAGAAAGGAATAATTCTAAAACTAAGAAATTACAATATCCTTGTATACTATATACATCAGCAAGAGCACAGTGCAAATATAACTTATTTATGTGTTCTCTATTATGTCAACAAAGAGAAACAAGAATGAGACACATAATATTATACTTCTCAATTCTATATAAACCTACAAATAATAAAACTGCTAACCCAGCACTGTTTGGATCCAGAGACAAGAATCGTGGATCTTGGTCTGATGAAGATCCCAAAGTTTGGTGTTCATTAGGATTGTCTGAACACTGTTGAAAGTCTGCTCCCAGCATTCCTCTGTTAGTTTTCCTGTCTCCCATATGTACCTGTGTGGGAACAGCTGGCTGAACCCAACTTCCACCACTTCGAAAAAGAAGCAGAAATTCATCAAAACTAATGCGGCCATCACAATCAACATCCAGTTTTTCAAACAACTGTTGGATAACCTGGAACAACAAAAGAGGAATGATCATGTTTACAATATCCCCGTGTCCAGCAACCTCAAATCAAATTCATCAAGTTTCTAAAAAATGTTGACTGTACAAGAAATTCATGGGGACACGTGGTAGCGTAGTGGTTGAGGAGCTATGCTAAAAGCCGGAAGGTCGCAGGTTCAAGTCCTGATGAGGTCATTGGATTCTTTTCAGTTGACCTAAACCTCCCAGCCGCACTGGGCCCTGGGGTTTACTCAGCCTCTATCAGAAAGGAGTACCAGGAGTTAATTAAATAATTTTCCTGGGGAGTAAAGTGTGGCCGGTGCGTAAGGCTGACAACCTTACCGTCATCTTTGAGCCAATTGTCTAGATAACATGGGACCCTCAACATGTCACAACCCTATGGGCCTTCACGGCCTGTTACAGGGATAGTTTTACTTTTACTTACAAGAAATTCATATATGTAAAAATATTTACTTCGATATCAACAAGTTTAGTTTCAAATAACAAAATAAACATAGTCAGTTCTTAATTATTAGGCATGGATTACTGCAATTGCATGTTAGCTATGATTATTTCATTTATTCTAGACAGACATATTTTTACACATATGGACAACTGTGAGGTAGGCTACCATCCTTCTGTAACCATAAGAACTAGTGCAGGGACAGAAGGTAAAGGAGAGATGTATAAAGGCAAGGGTGGAAATGGGAGAAGGGACTGCTACAGACAGAATGTTTCCAAATGTGTTTGTGGCAACATATGTTGAAATGCCAAGTAATGGCTGGGTGTGAAGAGGGTGGAGAAGGAGATTCTAAAAGGTTCTGACGATGGTGGATGTCACAGAATTATTAGGGTTTTGGACTTTTTCCATCATCTGGATTTCTAGGTAACAGAGGTCCAGTGATTGAGATTAGCTCTTTCTAACAGGCCCAACTGAGTAGGCATCTTCCTTTCTCATCTGAAGATGGAAACAGATCCAGTTCTCAAAACGTTGTGTCCTCTATTACCTAGAATTCCAGACGATGGAAAAAGTCCAAAATCCCAGTAATTCTGGGTGGAGAAGTGTTCACCAGACATAAACTATTAAAAAACTGAATTGGATGGGGTGGAATTTGCCAGATATAAACTACTAGGGAGGGTGGGAATATGCTGGCAGTACCTATTCTATTGTGACATTTTTCATCTTGGTCACAAGTTATTATGTACTCGCATCTGGTGAGACCAGTATGTCTAGCAGCACTGATAGATGTCCCAGAAGTAATTCCCCATCCTCATCAGGTTTCTCAAATGAAAAAGACATGCATCCCCAGATTAATCTACAAAAACAATGGCTCTAACTGATGGCACATATCTAACCTTACTTGCAATACTTGGAAAAGTTCAATTACTTATTACAGACAAATTATCTGTCTCCCATAATGTCAGATGTGTACCACTTGTACAGAAGACAATATATTTTTCACACCTTGAAATATCTGCAGCCACGCTACATACTACAGTAATCATAGTGGTTTCTTTATTTCCATCAAAATTGGCAATTTTTGGTTGAACACTTATTAATGTTTGAAATATGGCCACACCATAGCTCAAGCGGTTAGTCGCTGGCTTCCCAAAGCGGCAGCCCAGGTTCGATCCCGGGTCTGGTCAAGTGAGATTTGTGGTGGACAAAGTGGCACTGGGGCAGGTTTTCTCTGAGTACTTCGGTTTCCCCTGCCAATCTTCATTCCACCAATTGCTCCACAATCACCCTCACCTATCATCTGGGGCTGGTACAATAGGCCAGAAGTGGCCACAGTACAAGGGACTTAGTCCCATCCCACTAGCAATAAAAAAAATGTTTGAGATGTCAAATAACTGAAAACAGTTTTCTCCTACACCATTGAATGTAATTCCTTTTAAACCACATGTTATAAGCAAATTCACTTTCTTCACCAGAAGCCTGGCCATTATTCAGTTTACTATTGCTGTCAAACACACTCCATCTTTTTTTTTAATAATCAGCTTATTTCTGGAAGACATGATTTCCAACTCATCTGTCAACAACCTGACTACTGTAACTTTCTTCAGCTCTTGTAAAGAAATACTGGAACAGAACTTTTAAAATAGGTTCCTCCAGTATATCACAATCGCATACCATCAACAATTTATACATGCAGCAATTTAATTTTCATTTTAATTGTAATACTATTTTAAATTAAGGATTAATTGTAAACAAAGTTGCATTAAAGACAGAAATGAGTGTGTAAAATTCACTTATTATAAAACCCCTGAAGCTGTCGCAACAACAGCCTTTCAAATCATACACTTGGTTTGTTAGTTATTAGAGAGGGTGGGTTTCCCCACGCACTTAGACCTAAATCATACACTTACTTCCTCTGCTACCTTCTCCATGCCAATGCATTCACAGACAAGGGCAAGTTCTCCTTTGTCGAGGAAACCATGCTTGCCAACACCAAGTCTTTCCCAAGCAGCTCTAAGGCACTCTTCCTCATTCTCACCAACATGGCCCAGAGTTGGAGCAGCATTCTCATAACATAACTCAGAAAGCTGTGTTTTTACCCGCCAGCTAGGTACACTGACTTCTGCCATACCTACATTAACATACAATTATAACCATATTAACAGCTCTGTTAGTATAGAGATTAGGCGATGATGTATTCATATAATGGAGGAAACACCCTCCTGATATGAAGAGTTGAGGTAAAGAAAAGTTGTCCATATGCTTAATTAGGCATCACATTATCAAGATGTATGGAGTAGTGGAGGTATACTTCCAGCATTCTTAACCTCAGCACTACGTCGAGCAAATTCTGATAAAGTACCGTTAGCAAGCTGCTCACACCTCCTTCCACAAAACCAATGAACTCACATTGTGTAACTTTACCAGCATTAACCACCTGAAAATAAAAAAATCTCTGGACATGCATACAGTGTCACTATACAGTACAATACCAACAATGAAATCACTGTCTCAAAACTGAAAGTCATACCGAACAAGCAACTTGGTCCTCACAAAAGGGGGGGATTATAAAAACTGGAATGTAAGTTTTGGAACACAATGTAGGATTTGAGGTTCTCAAAGAGGTGGTTATGAAGAGTTCTGTCTTCTGGGATATAGCGCTGTGTAGGATTTGAGGTTCTCACAGTGGTGGTTATGAGCAGTTCTGTCTTCTGGGATATAGCGCCGTGTAGGATCTGAGGTTCTCACAGTGGTGCTTATGAAGAGTTCTGTCTTCTGGGATATAGCGCCGTGTAGGACCTGAGGTTCTCACAGCGGTGGTTATGAAGAGTTCTGTCTTCTGGGATAGAGCGCTGTGTAGGAGCTGAGGTTCTCACAGCGGTAGTTATGGAGAGTTCTGTCTTCTGGGATATAATGCCATCTGTTTTGCGGAAATCAACTGTTGTTTCAGAGGAACATGTCACCTCCACCTTCATGGTTGAAGAGTAGGCAAAGCAAGAAACCAGCATGACGCAGGCAGCGAGCAGAGCCTTTCAGCTTGCTTGCTCAGCCCTTACAATGGAAGTGACATGTTCCTCCACAGACTACATCGTTATACCACAGGAAATAAAACTCTTCATATCATGGACATTCTCCCAATATCAACTACCATAATTTTTCCAATAATGTCTCTACTTAAACGGTATGAAAAGAGAGCTCAGCGAAAGTAAACAACAGCATTACCTGAATTCTGGGTTCCTGCAAGAGAAGTTCCTTTACTATCCAATTGAATGTGTATACCTGTCTTCCGTTTCTTTACATGCTCATCATCTTCAAGAGAAGATGCTTCAGTTACTGATCTCTGTAAAACAGGAAATAAATGATGGCATATGTTCCAAGGTTCAACTGCTTAATATGCCACATTAATTTGAATTACATATGCCATACATACCATTGTGATTTCTTTGGTTCTGTCTTCAACAGGCACAAATATCTCCAAATCTGAGTCCTCTGAATTTTCATCATGTTCAACTGTCAAATCTTGATCTGTGCTTTCTGGGCGAGACCGACGCCCATATTTCTTTTTCCCAAATACAAACTTGGGGGAAACCTCTCGTTCTGAAATCACAAGTTGTGAAATGGAGAATTATTAGTATTAGTAATATAATCATGCATCATAAAAAACAAACTCCATGGCCTCTATCTGAAAGCGAACTATACCAACTGAGTGACCGCCATTTGTCGGTGAAGTTGGTTCTGACTTTTGCGGATAGTGAGTATCATGTGATCAGTGCAATGGATCCCCACGGCCGTTAATCTCGGTTTTCTAGACCGGAGCCACTATTTCTTAGAAAGAGCTACTCAATTATCCTCATGAGGCTGAGTGGATCCCCTTCCAGACCCACTGCTTCTAAAAAAATTGGTAGCGCAGGGAATCGAACCCGGGACCTCTGGATCTGTAGGCAGGAACTCTGACCACTAGACCACAGAGGCAGTCAATCATATATACATCAAAACTGAATCAATCTAAATTGAAGTTGATGACATCATAAACAAAATACACAATAATTCTAAATAAATACTCCATGAATCAGAATTGAGGATGAAACACTGAAAGCACTTTATGCCATAGATCAAAAATTCTATTACTGTTCGACATTATATAATATCACTGCTGTCTTTTCACTGGCTAGCTAATCAGAATAACTAAGACCACTGATCTCATAGAGTAAAGTAAAGGTATTCCTGTAACAGGCCGTGGAGGACCATAGGGTTGTGAGATGTTGAGGTTCCCACATTTTCTAGACAGTTGGCTCATAGAGGGCGGTAAGGTTGTCAGCCTTGTGAACCAGCCGCCTTTTAACCCCAAGAACATTTCAAAAATATTCCTGGTACTCATTTCTGCTAGAGGCTGAGTTGACCCCAGGGCCATAGCGCGGCTGGAAGGATTAGGTCAATTGAAAAAAATTCCACCTCATCAGGGCTCGATCCACAACCTTCCAGCTTGTAGCATAGTGTCTCAACCAGCTACGCTACCGCGTACCCCCTCACACTGATCTGATATAATTCCCAATTAGCAAACTCATGTTTATAGAGCTATTCTTATAGGCTTCCATTATTATTTTCAGTGACTAGGATGGATCTCTGCCTTCTTCAAATATGAATATTCTGCAGTATAAAGTTTCTTTATTATGGTACTAGGGCCAACAAATTATTTAGTTACTTACCACATTCTGCAACATAACATGCAGATGTTCCTATTCAGAAATTACCTCAATTCTTATCATACACTGTAGAAACACAGAGATCAAAACTGTGTGCTTTAAATAGTAAACAGTTTGAGATAAGCACAACTGACACTTCCTATTTTACACTCGACTGACTAGCCAAAATTGGATACTACAGCTAGTGGGGATTAGTCAAGTCTCTTACATGGTAACTAAGTTCTAAAAGTGTCAAGATGGTCCATTAGTACAAATATTATGTCTTTGGGCATTATCCATCATCTTGTCTTCACCTAAAAACAGTCCTGTTTATTTTTCAAAACACGTTTCGGAGATTGGATTCTGTCTCCATCTTCAGGTAAAAACTACTCAGTTTGGCCCAATCAATAGAGCTAACCCCAATCTCTGGACCATCCTAGCTGGCACTTCCTATCAGGGCTGAATCAGTATCCTTACGGTACATGCTACAGTTCGGTGGGTAGCCCTCAAACACAGCCCTGTGAGACTATGGCCTTCCAGTCATTCGGCAATGACACTTCCACACCTGGTTGCTACCACCTCAATGCTTCTCTTCATACAGAGGGATAAAAGTGGTCATACCCTGGATTGCCATAAGGGCACTTCTTTATTGCCCAATCACAGTAAACAGTGCTAAAAATTCATGGCTGCAACATGGGCATGCAAGGCATTCAGTCCCAGGATGAAATTTTCTGCAATTCTGGCAACAACGACCCCAGTGTCAAGTCTACTAACAATTCCTTTACATAGGGTACGTTCATGATTTCCCTCATCCCAAAGTGGTCAGGTGTGGCCAATTCCAAGAATGTTCAGAGGTTCTTAGATACAGTAGAGGGAGTGGTGAGACTATGAAATTGGTTGGATGCTGATATGGCACAAGCTGCTACTATGAAACTTGCAGACACAGCTGGAACCTTTCATTCAAAACGCATGAAACTGCATAACCCCGGTATTACTTGGGTGCACTTTAAGAACATTTTTGAGGACTGCTTTTGAGATGTGCATGCAGATCAATACCACTTCTTGCAATTACAAATGGCTACACAGAACTGGGAAGAAATCATTCAGGAATTTGAAGATTGGTGTGGGGCACTATGCCAGAAAAAAATTTAATTTTCCTCAGGCCTGCAAATATAGAAAACACATGCAATGGATTCAGAACACGGGTTACTAGCAGAGTTCTTTTCCCACCTATAAGGTAAGAATAGTCAGTAAGTTCACTTCACATTACCCAAGACCATCAAGGTAGTAGTACAGACTGCAACCACAGTTTATGAAGCTCAAACTGAGGATAAACTCAAGGGAGCATTTTACTCAGAACAACTAACAGCAGTTGCTGTCACTGGTAACCTATCTTTTACAATATATCTTGACATGGTAACATGATTATTACTGGTTTCTTACATAATTAATTAAACAAGCACAGAACTTTCCTTAATCTTCATTTATTTGCACTGTACATAATTGATTAAAAAATACATGGTCTTTACAGGTGGTATTGGTTGGAGCTGTTCAGCAATATAACACCCTGTTATAGGGATACAATCTCTGATTTTGGCTTTGCACACCTTAACTTGCTGAAGTAACTGACTTGAATTTGGAAAACACTTTATACATGGAGATACAATGCCTTAAGCTGAAGGGTGAAGACTGTAGCCAGGCTGGTCTTCTGGCTCTATTGGTATCAGACTCAACTGCTGTTAGCCAAATTGTTTTCAACTTCCCTATTCTTGTCCAAACCTCTATTTACAATTCTGTATAAAAAAGCATGATGTTATTGTCATTCACTTGGTAAAGTCTGTTTCAAGCAATGACATAATTAGGTGCCGACTGCAAGCAGGCCAAAAAAATTTCAAATTAACATGTAAAATGCTCAAGTCAGGTGAAAATGATGTAACTGACTTTGTATGACTCGTAAATAAAATTCAATGATCATTACATACCTGGACATGATACTATAAACCTGTTCCTGAATTATGTTAGATTACTTCATCCCCAGTTGGTGTTGTTGTAGCATGTAGAGCCATTACTATGCAACGACCATGAGATAAGCAAATATATCACAGCTGTTTCAAGGCAATGGCTCAGTAAATACATTCCTGCAGCATCAGACACAAAGATATAACCATGATGGTTTGGGGCAACTAGTTAGTTGCAACAGTACTCAGCTGTAAGTCTGGCTGTCAAGAGAAGACTTTATGTGTGTTATTTGGAGTGTGTAATTCAGTGAGACTCTTCTAGTTCCTGTATTAAAATCAGTGGCCAGGAAACTGCTAGTGGAGGCTGTAATAAACTGAGGACACTAGTCTTTGTGTGTCAATGATCTCTAAAGTGTAGTCACAAGCCATGAGTGTACACAAGGTCAATAAATCGAATCACCAATGCAAACCCCAACTACAGGCACTCAAAACCTTGACAATATTTATGGACATACACAACCACACAGTCTTTTAAAAATTACCAATATTACTTATGTGTACATACCTGGTGACCCCCTGCCTCCTGCTTCTCTTCTGTTTGCTTGCTCACCTTGATCTTCACCCAAAAGAGCAAGAAGACCATCTCTGAATTCAGCAAATGTCACCTTTTTGTTGGGAGAAGAACTTCCAAGCAAACATTTCATTAATTCAAAGCCTTGCTCTTCAAGCTGCAATTTTTCACAGAGTTGTTCTAGTCCATGACCATCCAAACTCCCAGACTTATCCTGATCACAGCTTTCAAACACAGCCAACAGTTGCTGCTCATATGGATCAAGTTCTCGCCCCTCCATTGCATGGCAGCGGAGGTGCACGAAACCTGTGAAAAGGGTATTTAGTCAAGGATCTGTCCAATATAACTGATTATATATTTCAAAATAATCTTATCTAACCTATGATGAGAGGTTGCTCAAAATTTATATGACCTTGAGTAATCTTTATGACTATTCCCACGTGTCGCTGGTATACGGTGTATGTGCGCAATACAGTACTAACCCTTTCTGGATACAACCAATTTTGTAATTAATGCAAACACAAAATTATAAACAGAAAACTCTTTCAACCCGATAACAAGGCTTTGTTACTTAATATACTTCCTAGATGTCACTACCGGTCAAAAACGACGAACGTGCATTAGTATTTTGTTGGTAATTTAAAAGATTTTTTTTTTCCTGTGTATTCCGTAGTTTCTACCGTTTCTAGAATGACGGAAGAAGCAGACGATATACAGGTGAGTCTTACTTGAGATTTAAAGTTCACTTATAAACGAAGTAAAATCCGTACGTGGCATTATAATGCACAACTTTATGTAACGCCGCTACAAACACAAATACTGTACCAGTAAGTGTTAACGTTATTAGATTTAATATAAAGTTAGTTTCGATGGGATACGCATGTATGCTAGAAACTAATAATCACCTTTTTTTTTTTTAATTTTCATCGTATCTAATATCAAGTACTGCCTATGTATCCGGCAATTTGCATAATCTGATTGGCCAAATAATAATTCCATGGCTCCATTTTTTTATTGGGCAGTGGGCGGGAGCATATGAATCATAGAAAATCATTAGTTTCATGTATAGTGAATCGATTTAGACGTTCTTTTGTCAGATCCATTTGTAAGCTCTCTTTAATTTTATTCAGTTAAACAGATTTTTAAATTAAACCACACTAGATATGTTCTGGGAAGTCACTAGCGAAAATTTACAATTGAAACAAACTGTCTGGTACAGAATCCTTCACAAGTTTGTAGTTGGTCTGCCAGTAAAGAAATTCATTATGTTTCTGTGAGCACAAAGCCCTCCAGTCCTGACCCATCTTCACATTATGACACCCTGCATATTACAAATACTATTAAAAAAAACCTCAATATATACTTACTTACTTACTTACTTACTCACTCACTCACTCATGGAGCTGAGCCCTCTATGCAATAAATAATTAGGTTCCAATATTATGTGTGAACACATTCTTAATAATATTAATTATTTTATCCATGCCTGTTCCTCACAATTAGTCTCTCTTCTTGCAGTTTTCCAACCAAAATCTTGTACACTACAATTCACTATTTAGGTTGAGGAGACTAGATTTGGGATGGAGATAGGCAGTGCTCCTTTACAGCTAGTACACATACCTGGAAGTAACAAGGTCTCAGAAAACTTCTTTGAAGTTGCTTATCTGCTGTGCATTTTATGTTTTAACCTTGAGGCTGAAATCAAATGTGAGAGTACCAGCAAATTTATTTAAAACTGTTAGGGACACACAGAAGTTTGTATCTTAGTTTATTTAATCATTCATTCATTCATTCATTCATTTCCATTATTTTCCATATATCCATACAGGTAACAAACCTAGGATGTGGAAATGGTCCCTTTGAAAATAGATATATCAAAATACATATACAAAATTACATGAGTCACATAATCAAAATCACATTAATCGATTAACATAAATAATAATGTAAAAAAATTATTAAGATTTTAATTAATAAACATAATTTAAAAACAACTTACTATAAAACTTGAATTAATACAATTTTATTTAAATTACCTATATTAACTGAATTAAATATGTTACAAATTTACACACTTATGACCAATTATGTTGATAATATTCATTCATGGAATAAAATGAATGATATATCAGCTCTGTGCATGGTTATGGTTATAATGTGACTACAAGCCGGTCACGGTAGCCGAGCGGTCTAAGGCATGCACTTTCTTCGCTCGCTCGGAAGCCGGGATCGTGGGTTCGAAAACCCACTCAGGGCATGGATGTTTGTGTGCGTTTTTCAGTGTTTGTCTACAGGTAGAGGCCTTGTGACGAGCTGATCACTCGCCCAAGGAGTCCTACTGTATGTGTAAGATCTAGTAAACCGAAGTGAAATGGAGAGTTTCATGGAAGTAGGCCTAGGCCCAAATTGGGGCTGTAGCACCACAGGAAAAAAAATGATGTGACTACAAGTTGGAGTAGAAATGATTATGATACAGAATACACTTCCATCATTCATCTGCAAAGTATTTCGTAAAATTTATTCATTCATTCATCAATGGCTCTACAGCCCTTTGTTCGGCCCTAGTCTCTTCTTCAGTTTCGTAATCCATCTTACACAGAGGGTAGGACTCCTTGGACGAGTGATCAATCTGTCAATACAGCCTGAATAAACACATAGACATCCATGTCTTGAGTTGGATTCGAACCCACGATCTCAGCATCTAAGCAAGGACAGTTCATGCCTTAGACCGTGCAGCCACCATGATCGGTATTTCCTAAAATACTGAAAATAATTTATTCTAGCCAAGATCTGAATGGAGGAGGAAGTTTAACAGTTACGTCAAACCCCAAGCTTCAGGTTACCCAACAGAATCAAACTTGATGCCTGTAAGTGGCCCACCAGTATGGTACAGTTTTTTAATTTAGTCACATTCCAATCTATGTGCTTGTTGTAAAATATTGGGTAGATTTTGGGCCTTGTGTTTAGGAGGTCCCAGGTTCAACACTCATCTCAGAGTATAGTTACCTTGACTTAAAATTTATAGGATTTTTCTGTCTCTCCAGGGCAGTACTTCAAGTCACTTCATTCCTTGTTCTTTCCAATTCATTATATAGTAATATCGTTGTACCATTTTATACTTCATAGTCTGAGCTATAAACAGCACCATTAAATAAACCATAAATAAGTAAATAAATAAATTAAGTGTGAGCTCCACAATTCGGTGCAGATTTGTAATCTTCTGAAGCCAACAAGTTAACATGCAAGACTGAGCTGGAATTAATTAGTACTGTGCACATATTATAATGTAAATTCAAATAGAGGTATTTTTTAGAACTTTGATAGGAATGATAAATGTTTTGGTTGCATGCAAACTGTAGAAATGTCCAAAATTAACAAATAGAACTTTAGAAGTTACGTTTTTTATGAACCTCTGTCATACAGTGTGTTACATTCATGCATATAGTAATGTGTGAGAAAAACAAGGTGTACAAAATTTTTGTTGGAAAATTATTTGAGGAAGTACCACTTAGGCAGTTTGAAATAAATGAGAAGATAACATTAAAATGTATCTTACATTGTAAGGCTACGAGCTACACTGAACTGGCTCAGAATATGGTGTTTATGATAATGAATCCTTAGGTTTTATAACAGCAGGAAATTTGTGGGAAACTGGAATGTATGTTTACTATGCAGACATTACCATCTGTAAGGAAGTGAGCTTATTGCTTATTCAATCTTATGAATGAGAATCTTAAATACACTTTTTCGAACTGTGAAATCACTACTTAGGAACACCAATCTCCTTGAATGAACATTTTTAGAATTTGATGGAGTCAGTAAAAAGACTATTTCTGCCTCTTTTGACAATTCAAGATGTGGGTTGTGTGTTTTATGCATGTCAAGGAAATGTAACAAAAGCAGATCTTTTAATAATTCTTTATTTAAAGGGTTAATAATGCCTTATTATGTTAAACAGTTTTGCAAATCCATTGTGGATCAATACGAGTATATCAATGAGTCCTTTCAAAGTCACTTCTTAAAATGGGGTGTGATATTCATGATCATATTCAAAGCAGTGTAGTTACCCACATGTTAAATTGTCTACAGTATATATATATATATATATATATATATATTCAAGCTCAATTTTAGCTTGTTGTATTCATGTTCAAGTGTTTCAATTTCATATTACAGAAGAAATCAGTGACTATCTTTGGTCGAGATGTAGCTGCCATACCTTGCTTCAGAAGCAGCTTCTTGTATGGAATTGGAAGTGGATTTGCAGGCGGTCTCACATACTTCCTTTTCACAAGCAATACAAGATGGGCAACACATGTGGGATTCACGTCATTTGTTATTGTTACAATGTCTTATTGGTAATAAGTCTGTAGTACTGTATACCCAGTCCTTGAATATGTGAAAAATGATTTACATTTCACAATAGGGAATTTGCTGTATTTTAAAATGTGAGCAAAGGTTTCTGCAACTGTAATCAGTACATCGTATAATGTGTAAAGATTTCCACAGAATGTTTGTGCTGTAGTCATGGAAGTTCACAAACAAAATGCAGAATCATCCAACTCAGTAAATATCTTTCACCAGAATATCAGGGGACTGAGAAGCAAAAGTGATGAATTAATACAGTCTTTTGAAATAGACAACATAAACCCTGACATAAAGTAAAAAAAAAGTAAAGGTATCCCTGTAACAGGCTGTGGAGGCCCATAGGGTTGTGAGACGTTGAGGTTCCCACATTTTCTAGACAATCGGCTCATAGATGGCGGCAAGGTTGTCAGCCCTATGTGCCGGCCGCCCTTTACCCCCAAGAATATTCCAGGTACTTATTTTTGTTAGAGGCTGAGTCGACCCCAGGGCCACAGTGCAGCTGGAAGGATTAGGTCAATTGAAAAAAATCCAATGACCTCATCAGGATTTGAACCCATGGCCTTCTGGCTTGTAGCATAGTGCCTCAACCAACTATGCTACCATGTGCCCCCATAAATGCACACATATTATGTTTAAGTGAGCATCACATGGTTGAACAGGAGCTGCTGCACCTCACAATGAATGGTTACCAATTAGACTCCAGCTTCTGCCAAGAAGACCTACAGAGAGGAGGGGTGTGTATTTTTGTTATGTCAGAGAAACATTTCAGTAAAATTTATATTTCTCATCACTGTAAGGAACAGGATTTTAAATCTCTGCAATTCAATTAGTAACTAAAACATCTGACTTTTTTATATTAAGCTTGCCCAGAGGTCCTTTGGGAGATGTTATTGAATTTCTAAGGAGGCTGCATGCAACTTATTTATACAATCCAAAATCCAAAATCAGGATTTTAAATCTCTGCAATTCAATTAGTAACTAAAACATCTGACTTTTTTATATTAAGCTTGCCCAGAGGTCCTTTGGGAGATGTTATTGAATTTCTAAGGAGGCTGCATGCAACTTATTTATACAATCCAAAATCTGAGTTTATAATCTATGGAGACATAAAGTATTTAATTGAAAATAACCAGAAAAAAAAACAAGTAAACTGTTTACTAAAGACATACAATTTGTCAGACACTGTGAATTTTGCAACAAGAATTCAAAATTCCTCGACAACAGTCATTGATAATATTTTTAGAGACAGTACAAGGTTAAGCTTATCTTGTACATCTCCTGTAGTCTACAGCCTCTCAGACCATGATGCTCAATTCCTTACAGTAAATAATATTACTACAGAAGTAAATTTAATGTCCTTGATACAGAGAACCAGACAAATAATGAAACCATTGGCCAGTTTCAGCATCTATTAGAAAATGAAATCCAGGAACCTGTTTTCAAAAATAAGGATACAAACTATAAGTTTAACTCTTTTTTATACATTTTTCTAAATATCTTTGAAGCTAGTTTTCCTATTCAGAATAAAATTGTAGGTAGAATAAAAAACTTGATTACACAAAGAATAAAAATATCTTGCATATGTAAAAATATATATAGCACAAGCAGTAATAATCCACACATGAGAGCATATTACATCAAGCACTGAAAAATTCTGAGCAGTTATAAAAAGAGGCTAAAAAGCAGCATTACTATAGGCTTATAGCAAAATCTGATAATCAGATAAAAACAACCTGCATGTTTTGTTAACAACTCACTCCAAATAGCCCTGTATTTTATATCTTGTTTCTTCACTGTACCATAAGTACTCTATTTTATAGGTTTCACTGTCGATGGCAATGGTCCAAGAAGAAATTTACACATGGTCAACTGCAGGCTGTTATGCAGAAGCAGGCAATGTATGAAGGAACTGATTATGATCTGACTGATAAAGGTCAAGTGTATGAAGTTAAAAATTAACCATGAGTTTTGCTGTTATCAGATAATGTGATAGAAACATGTAGGAAGTGAATAAATAAAAATATATATTTTTCATTTAATTTTACTGAGACTTTTTATGTTGGATTTTATTGCTGTTGCCAATGCAACAATATAATAATAATGTAAAGTCTTATTCAAAAAAGTGTAGTATCTATCAGGTCCCATTTTTATCATTATCAAATAAATATTGTTTCAAGAGAAAAAGTGGATGGATACTGATGTTTCTAAGTTAAATAGCAACATGTACTCTAGGTGCCCACAAAATTCTTGATGGTCAGCTACTGGTAGCAGAGTACATTTATTATATTCCAGAATTCTGTATTCAAGGTAAGGTGGTCAAAATAAAAAGCCCTGGAAAACTGCATGCATTTCAATCTCAGCATCTTTTCTCTTCTACATTTTCTGTTTTCTAAAAAGAAATAACAAGACTGTAAAAGTATATAATGTACACTTAACAGGTGCATTGGCCATAAGGATTAAAAATAATGCAATAAAGGGTATGACAAACTCTTCATTTATAATAAAAAAAAAAGTTAAATTCATATGCAACTTTTGGCTGTTGGGCTATGATACTTGAATTGCTAAGAAATAAACTATACACTGCAGGCAAACTGGATGAAAAGTAGATTTTAATGCTTCAGCACTCACCCTTATGCTTGTCAAAATGTAAATAATATGTAAACTTTTGGCTATAGTCTTTAAAATCAGTGAAGACTTTTTATTTTCTAGTTCTGGAAGTCATGGTTGATAGATGAATACGAGTCCAAAAATACAGTGCGTTCAGTTAAGGAGGAAACTTCGCAACACCGCTGACCTGGCCCAAAATTCCTCCCAGATTGTTGCTGTAACTGCTGATAGCAGAATGAGTCATTAACGCTGATAAACGTGCACTGTTACAGTTACAGTAGCAATCTGTGAGGGATATCGGGCCGGGTCAGCGGTGTTTCGAAGTTTCCTCCTCGATTGAACACCCAGTATAACATTCCTTCTGTTTAAATATCTTGAAACCTGTAAGACTTGTTGAAAAAAAAAATGTCTTGGACATAGAATTTGTTTTTCCCTAAGTTTGTTTAAAATATCTCTTCAGTAAATATTTAGTGATACATGGAGGAAATCATGTAGATCTTCATGTAAAGAAGCTCTTTGTTAAACTTGTCTGATATGAATAATTGAAGTGGTTTGACAAACTTTGGAAAATATTCAAATATGAAATTTTGTAAAAATCCCTCTAACTGTTTTGAGTTCAATTATTGACCACTGGAGTCAATATTCATATAATTTATCATTGTCACACACTTGTAGATATTGTAACGTGTTTCGTTACTGAAGACGCCATTCAGATTGTTAATTGGTTTATTTAACAACCTACAGGTATCGGCTACAATTAATTACAACAATGTTACGGGTTTCGACACTTTACAAACCCTACACACAAATCTCTTCACACTGTCCTCAGTAGTCTACACGTATTCACAGTACGGCAGCTATACAAGTGTCTCTGTATTACACACTCCCAATTACACAATTAAACATGCGTCCGGTTCTTCTTTCCGCGACTGCTGCTATACTCCAACTCGCTTCGTAGGCTGCTGCCTTGAGAACTCACTTCGGCGGCTGATACACGTTACCTGTCTCCGGGGACGGCTACACTTTAACCGTCTCCATAGGCTGTGTAGTTCCCTTATAAACCCTCAGCTGGACAATGGGAAACACCTCGCTTCCTTGTTGCCTAGTCGCTGTGTTTGCCGATAGCCTAGCAATGCTGTTGGGTCCTGTGTTATGTCACTGCTGTTTACTCACTTTGCCTAGCAACCGCTGTGCTTGGACTCGGCTCACTTCGGCTCCGCTCGGCACGTCACCGCTGGCAGGGGGGGAGAGGGTGTCCTCCATAGCGCAGCACGTCACAATATCATTTTTCATTTATTCTATATGGATGGATTTACAGACTGAATGAGCTTAATAGGTGCCTCACAGGGTTGCAAATGTGCCTCAAAATGGAGAAGAACAAAATTGTTTCTTTTTACTCAGCTGTTCCAGAGTTTTGTTTCTAATTTCCAGCAGCATTCATAAGATGCTGCAGTATTCACTGTATAGCAGGCTGAGTGGGTCACTGATTTTATCCATGTAGATGTGGTAGCAAAGACAAAAATTCTGCCCTGATTGTGCAGCCAGTTCTTAAATGTCTGAACTCTCCTGTTACACAAGGTATTGGATGATTTACTCCAAAGAAGCGCTACATTAATATAATAAGTGTAACTACAAATCACAAAGTAATTTACCAATATAGTTGAAACTGATGATTCCATGAGGAAAGACGATTTTCATGTGCCAAATTGTAACACATCAGCTTCCAAGAAGAGTGTTATCAATATGGGTAAAAATTGTGTAATGGACTGCCTTTGGATTCAAGAAAATCAGATGGATGTAAAGACTTTAAATATAAGCTGAAAGTATTTTTACTAGATCATCCATTCTATACTGTGCATTGTATGAGTTTCTCTTAGAGGGACAGTAGTAAGCATAGCAAAACCTCTAGCCAACAACTGAATGGATAACAAATTGTTGCTTGTAGTATTTTAATGTGATCGGTGATTGACCTGGTCATGTGTGGGACTTTTGATTTACTGTAATACTCCAAAAACTCTCTTGACAAACTCATAAGGTTAACTTGCATTTCAATTTATGTATTGTATCTAATTTGATAGTTTGTGTTGTATTTTAATTATAGGTTAACCATGTCAAGAGTGATTATTTATTGGTGATACACATAAATTCTGATCCCTTAGGCATTTGGGCAAACGGATTTCAAGAATGATGTATTTAATGATGCAACTTGTTCAGGTGTTACTCTTATAACAATTATGAATGCCAAATAAAATGAATGAATTTATTGGTAGATGTTGCATTAAATGGATTTCAAATGTGATGAAATTGGCTTTCCTCAACCTAAAGACAAGGCTGACATGGTGGTCTGTGTCTGCTAATGCTGCAGCCAGTATGACAGGAAGGATTGTATCAGTTTTGTTAGTAATGTTTGTTTTATAGTTGCCAACATTGCAAGTTTGTTTTTAAACAACATACCCTTCAGCAGATCTCACAGAAGAAGTCTGGTGAGTCATGTCTGGAGACCAAGGCAGTCAAAGTCCTTTTGAGGTAATCCCATCTCCAAAGAAACACTGATCCCACCCAAGTCAGCTTAGATGCATGATACATTGGCCTTACCTACCTTACCACTCAGCACTACAGCCCTGGGCGAGCCTTGGACTCCTCTACAACCAGTCTCCACACACACTGCCTCACCTTTCTGAAAATAATGAAGTGTCAGTTCCTAGTTATCCAGCTGATTCACAAATTCTTGGAAAATGTCAGAGTAGATGTTGATGGTTATGTGAAAGGAAATGGAGTCAGTTATGCTTCCTGTGGCTGGAGGACTCCATGTGAGTAGCATGAGGAGTTGCAGCAGCCCACACACTCATAGTTTCATCAGAAGATTTCATCATGTCCAACATGTCAGGATTTTGGGCAACAAATGTTTGAATCCGTCATCAGCAGGCCACTCTTTTCTGCATGTCACGAGGTTGGAGCTCCTGGACAAGAGTAACATTGTATGGGTGAACCCTTCTTTTCCTCACTGCTCTTTCATATAATAACCAGGACATGGCAGACTCCTGCAATAGCTGACATAAGGACTTTGCAGGGGACACTAGAAGCCACTACCACACATTCTGCAACATGTTGCCAGTCACTGCAGGCCAACCTCCTCTGCATTGGTGCAGGGTTCCTTTAGTCCCCAGTGTTTGGACTACCTTCTGGATGTTTTTTAATACTGCTGCACTATCGAAATGGTTTCTTAAACTGTTTCAGTGATCCAGCTTAAGCTGCTCTATCACATATATTACTCCACCACACTGCACACAGAATGACAGATTGAAGGAAATAGCACAAATATTGTTTCTGGACATTATCCATCATCCTGTTTACATTTCAAAACACGTTTCAGAGAATGGATTCTGTCTCCACCTTCTGGTAAAACCTACTCAGTTGGGCCCAATTGACAGAGCTGCAGGCACCCAGTCAATCTTGCAAAGCACAGAGTTGCCAAGTTTTATTTTCATTGTTTAAATTATTTCAAGTCTTATAATTATTAATTCTGGACTTCCTTCTGAGTGACTCATTGTGCAAGTTAAGAGCTGTCATGGTAGTACAGCTAGTAACCAGCTACTTTACTCACCTAGATGTCCTGGCTCATAAGCAAGGGAGAGGTTAAGGAACACTGATTTTGTTCCAACTCACATATTTTGATTATACCTCACGTTTATTAATATTTTTTGCCATCTTCTCTTTTATATGGTCCTAGGTACTTTCTCTACAGTCCAAACTGCGTGTGGGGGGGATCATAAACGTGTACAAAATTTTGCTCACAAATATTCAAAGGAAGTGTCCACTGCGAAGACATGTTGATAGGTTAACATGCAAATGGATCTTAAACAAATGGGGTAAGAAACACGTTGACAAGATCGAACTGGTGCAGGATATAGCTCGATTTTAAGCTTTTGTGAACGTAGCAGTGAACCTTTGGTATCCATAAAAGCAGGGAATTTCTTGACCAGCTCAGTTAACTATCAATTTTTTTTAACAACAATACAATGTGGAGTTGGTTGTGGCACAGTTCTTGCCAAGAGATCAACAAAGGTGTAATAAAATGAACAAGTCAAATGTACTTCCAAAATAGGTTTCATTTAATCTGTCTCATGCTGCCTTTACAGTACACACAGGAGTCATTATAAATAATCACATATGTAATGCTAACTTATTTGGCTACAACGGTATAAAGATGTTTCATGCTGTGGATAGTTTTCTTCTTTAAAACTAAATATTTTGTCTACTTTTCCATGTTGCAAATTGTGAGCACTCTTCTTGTCACATCATATCAAACAGTAAAACATGGTCGAGCGAGCGAGGTACACAAACTGCTGCTGTGCTAATTTCACGTGGACAGAAACAAACATGGCGACTACATTTTGTTCCTGAGATTTTCGTAGACCATTTGCTTTCCATATATTTTTTAAACAACATCTGTGCATGACAGACAACAGACAGTTTTCTTTCAGTACTTGCCACTTGAAGCATGCATGCCCACATTTCTCTCTGTGTCAAAAATTATCTTAACATCAATTCCCCATGTAAGTCTTGTGCATGTTTAATGTGCATTTTTTTACATTACCCAATTTTGATCTTTTCTGAATGTCACTGATCTACCTTTTTTAAGAAAATTACCTGTGAACAGGTATTTATGACTTGTTGCACACAGCTGTAGGTCTGATTTAGATACATTACAAAATAAACAAATATGACAGAATTAAAATTATTACATTAACCTCCCAATCAAGCACAAAATATTGAATGATTTGGCAAACATACACTGGCCATGTTCCAAATGAAATGTGGTTTTAACATTCTGTGAAGTGCTTCCTTGGAATATTTGTTGTGTACTCTGTTAATGCCAAAGGCATAATTTTAAACTTCCAAAAACTGTGATAAGTGTTATTAAAACCTTTCACACACATCCATAAAAATGCAAAATATCTTATTTTAAACCAAAGCAGAAAACAGTTATATATAATGGCAATACTATGTGCCTTCACCAAGGAAGCTGGCTTCAGTAAACCATTTTAAAGCCCTTCAAGGGACCTAGCAACATGATGGCCAAGAAGGAGGACACTAGGGTCCTGAGGGGTGACACAACAGTTCATCCCTTTCCCCTTCTTCTACCCCAAATTACTGGTTTCATCATGACTGAAACACAACAGTTAAACACAGAAGGAATAGAGTCCAAGGCTCCCAGCTCATTGGTTTTGCTTTGTTGCCATTTAAACAGTTTAAGTGCACAATGCAACAACACAGAAAATAACTTATTGTCATCCACGACATGAAAAAAATAATTCTCCAGGCAAGTCATAAATCTATACAAATATTCAATGTTGGCAAACCAATGAATGGGAGGTTCTAAATTAACATACACACGTAAAACATGTGTGCTGACAAAGAAAACATTACAAGAAAGAAAAATAAAATTAAACGCATCTCTACAGTTTTCTACAATAACAATTCCACCTACAATGATAGAACATGGCAAACAAAGAAAACAATTCAATGTGTATGAACAACACCCCACAAAAAAAAACAAACAAAAAGTAACACCATTTATAGGCTCACCCTGCATTGCTCCAATGCAAGACAAACATAAACTTCATTCACCACTATAATGAAAATAATGAACAAAACTTTGTATAGATATATGATATTAATAATAACAATCTATCCTATCACATGTAATTATACATTTGCTCACTTACAAATTAATTACTACAGATTATTTTTGCCCCGCTTTGGATTTAACGAGCACTGTAGACAAACACAAAAAACAAATCAAACGTGCTCCACATGATTTGTGCCTTGTGCCATCTAGTTTGCTTTTCCTTAAGTACATCAACATTTTTGGTTATACAACGCAACAATAGCGGGCTTTTTTTTTAACAGACACATAACTGGCAACGGAAACATTTAAGACACATCTTTGGTTATAATAATTTTTTATATTCTTTCGGTAACTCTTTGACTCCCACTTTGGCTGAATGTTATGATTTGATGTGGACATAGACTTGCACAATATCCACCCTTAACATTTAATGAACTTAACACTCAACAAATGCTCAGTTAAAGTGCATTCATGAAGGACTAGGAAAATACCTTCCATACACAGAATGGTAACAAGTTCCACGTTTAAAACAAATAACAAAGTACTTTTTCTTTCTTTGAACAGCTACTAAATGAACTGCAGAGGTGAAACTGCCATTTATCGAAAGAAAGCTTCTGTCACTTTGGCACTATATGACGTGTCACCTCGAGCAAAGGGTATGGGGTTGTTCCATAACAACTGATTGCACAATATAAGTTACCATTATTATTAATACAGTCTGTCCCACTCCTCCATCTTGGGAATGATGCCATGTAGTGCCAAGCCTTAGATTCCTACCCCTAGCAGAAAACTTATTGTAAAAAACAAGGCACAGTACTTAAGTAAAACAGAATTGCAAACCAGATTTTTGTGAAATAACCAATACATAAATTAGATAAATATAATTAATTTTTTGTCTTCTTTTGTCTCACAGCTAAGCAGCTATAAAGCTGTATTCTATTTTGGCCTGTCCCCCTTTTCTTTTCAACACCTGTACACTTAGAAATAACAATTAAAAATCAAATCCAGTCATTTCTGAGAAAGTTATCTATTTTTAAACTTTAGTCAATCCATAAATGCCTAGAATGGATACAAATACTATATATCCATTTCTCACTTTTTTATTATTTAATTTTTCAAACTGCCTTTTAATCAATCATTTCACCTCAGAGTTCCAAACCCACGTCCAAAATGAAACAGATATATCTTCCACAAGCAACGGGGGCAAAACATACAAAAAAATGGATGAATGGTTGGTAAAATTTGCATAAAAGTATCCATAGACATTGCAAGTGAGAAAAAATAAACTGAACAGAAAATTACGTTCTCTTTCATAGAAAAATTACAATGAAGACAGGAGACAGACAATGCCTTATTTTTACATAAGTCTCTTTTTTTTAACAGGATCTCATATTTGTTTATAGGGTTGAACTATTTAATTATAAAAATTACTCTGTACTTTCTTCTTTAAACATTGTTTCAAGCACGCAGGAGAAGAGGCAGTCTATCACGTGCTTGTGTGCTGCTTCCAAGTGCTGCTGTGGATGATGCACATCATGATGATATGGTATTTACTATTATCAAAAAGCTGCTATATCAAGTTTTTACTTTTTTGTTATTTGTTATGATTCCACATCACCCCGGTGGCCCTAGTTTTGAGTCTTCGGACGCACAAACATGAAAGAGTCACATGACTATTTGTTATGGAGGACGGTCGGTCCGGGGGTAATCACAGAGCGCACGTACGCCTCCCTGACACCCAACAGAGAGAAACAAATGCAAGTGTTAAAACACACAACACATTCACACAAACAAGGAAACAATAATCTGCTCAGCACAATAAAATACACGAGTTCTTCACAATAGACAGCTTCACTGTGGAGCATGTGGGGCAGTTGCTCACCCCACATTGTGCAACTCCCTCCCTAAGAAATGCGATGTCCTCAATGCCTACATGTATTTCATTGTGTTATGCAGACAGCAAGACATTGTAACACCTTATTGTTATATACATATCAATAACATTAACAAGTGAAACAGTACACCTTCTGCACATTACAAAACAATATCTGAAATGAGTAGATTGTGCATTATCTAAGCCATCCACCACTTCAAGTGATCAATACATGTATCCTCACCATTTTTACTACAATTTTAAATGTCTCAATATATAAAGTGTATTTAAAAATACCATATAAACATCATTTTTAACTACCACATCATAAGTATCTTTCCAAATGACACACTGCCAGTTATTCATCATATGAAAATGTTAAAACAACTTATGAATTTCTTGAACTATTGGCATCAGTTATATTTATATATCACAATAAATAGAAGTAAATGACCAGACAATGCACTCATTCCCAAATAGGTGGATACGAACTGTAGCAGTGACAGCAATGGGAAAAATGTATACATGAAACTGTATTCAGCACAGAAAGGCAGGGTGAAACAAATAATACACCATAATTGAAAATAATTGATGGAAAATACCAGGGTCCTTTCAACTGCTCAAAACGTTTTCTCCACCACAAGGAAAAAATAATGGCTGGTTAGTTCACTTGCAGCTCCTATATTCAGCACAGTATTAATACTACATACAAACATAAATGTTAGTGAAGCAACAGAACAGTTAATAAACGAGGAATCACTACAAACTGAATTTACAAACATAAATATAATATATAAGGTTTTGTATCCTGTCACAAAAAGTTTCAAAACTTGAATTTGTATGTCCAACAAAAAACACAAAATTTTGTCATGAAAATTACTGTATAAAATGGATGGCAACAGTGGACAGGAATTACATTTCTTGTGTGCATCGGTGTACTTCATCATTAAGCCTTTCATGACCACCATGGATCAAAAAAATGTCAACAATTAAACCACCTTTTATTGCACTCCAGTTATTAATTATATGACATATTTCAGTCCCTGCAGATGATCCATTAAGGATCGACACCCAAGTTTTTGTAATTAATGACTAAAACACAATGAAGGCTGACTGAATTTAGTTACAGCAGAACCGCATAAATCAGGAATTATAAAAAAGTTGGCCCCTTTTGGAAAAGTGCCCTTTTTAAAATTTCTGTAACCCATTCCACTATGGAATGGTTAATGTATTGCTTCACATCTCAAACTCTAGAACAAGTCTGTAGGCAGCCATCTGTCAGATGATCAGTACTTGTTAGTAGTATGTGATGGAACAGCTTCATGTTGCATAACATGTATACAGTCGTGTTCAGCTTCTCGACCACATTATGTTACTCAACAGTTTAACAGTGGTCAGCTTCTGCTGTAATAGTTACACAGGCATTTATAAAATGGCGGCAGTGTACAAGCCCACCTAAAAAATGTAGTAAATGCATAGCAATGTAGTGTGCCTACTTTGGCAGCACTGTGAAACCTACAATATGTGGTATGTTTCCTGAAGATCATGTTAATATTTCGCAAATTTATGTATATAAATTCTATGCATGTAGTTCAATATATTTTGGTGTGATCTCTACCTAAATTTTGAAATATCTGATATAGATTACAAAAAGCATTCTTATGTTTTTTCTTTGAAATAGTCCAATTTCTTCCCGGATACTTAGGCTATGTGCGGCACTTAAGAAACAGGAATTTTAAAACATTCAGTTGAAGTTAGGTCTTGAGGGTACTAGATTTATGAGGGTTCTACCATGTTATTTTTTAATGTATTTCAGTCCATGATGGTAGTTATTCATCTGAAGGTATAATTTACACCCTATTCTCTTTCCACCTACTGTATATGCCGAGGAGGAGGATTAGCAATATACAGGAATCCCTCACCATGTTTTGACAATGATGGAAATAAAATATTCTTGGTTTTAAATCTGATTCCAATTATATCAGCCACAGTTTCTGGTCTTATGTATGTGGTTCATCATGTATATACAGAAAACAGGAAGTGACCACCACTCCAAGAGACTCATACAAACAAGTGTTGTCTTCATCATCAATGGATGAACTTCAATTCTCCAGTTTGGCTAATAATGTAAGGGATTGTAATAATGTAATAAGGGAAATACAAAGTTTTCTCCATACAATGAAAGCTGCAATGTTTTGCTTGAAATCAGCTCTGTGTACTTTGTAGCTTATACACCACAAGCATTTCTTGGCTTCATATGATTCCCTCCAGCACTAGATGAAGGGAGGTGACTGATCAGCTTCATGGCCCTGCCATTTTTCAACTGGACAAACAACCCTCAGCACCCAGTGTAGTGGTGGCTGGGTGAGCCCTGGAGCTTGGCTGACTGCTATGGAGAAGAGAAAAATCTCTCCCTCTCATCAGCAATAGATACCCCATTTCTTAGATTGCCCAGCTCATAGCATAATCACTATATCAAGTGGCTATCCTGGCAAAATACTTACACATGAAAGAAACAAGTAATCAAAGTTACTGTTTCAACAGTATAGTTGAATGACTGCTCTTAAAGAACGGATGTCCATGATTAAAATGGACTTAGTAATGAATAATTTAGACTTACAGTAGTTTTAAGATGAAATGTGCTCAATCTGGAAAACATTTTAAATGAACACTTCTTAATGATTTATACTGGAAATGGTTTTTAGCTATCCATCATTCCCATGGAAATGGAGACATAACATGTCAAGACTATATGATAAATTTATATGGATACACTTAACCATAATTCCAAAATAAAATTTCTGATGAGTACACTAAATCTGTGTCAAATATTTATGACAAAACACAAAGCCAAAAACAACAGAAATTAGGAAACCTCAATAACCAGGGCACAATTATGGCATACTCTGAGGAACCAAAATATTTAAAAATGAAAGAATGTCAGATACTAACAATGACCTATTGCATTTGACAAATGAGTTGTGGACAGGCTTACTATTAGAAACACCACAGCAATCCCTAGGACGCCATGCAGGTAAGTGTGCATCCTGTAAACATCTGTAAGCAATGGACGATCAGCAGACACTTGTTAGCCATCAATGGGAAATAATCGTCACTCTGTGGAACTAACTACAGGTACAAAAAACTTCTAAATCATTAATATCCTGTACATTGTGCTCAGTGAATTACTAAGTATAGGAAGCAGGAGGTAGTGTTGGGAATTAAATATAAACACAAGACATGTAATTTGGTATAGTGGTACTTAGATTTTCCCTTATTGTAACTTTACAGTCTAATTAATGGGCTTCACAGAAGAATGCATGGTGGAATTCAGAACTCAGACTAAAAATATAATACATTAATTTCCTTCTCAACACACTATCATTTAGGTCTTCCTTCTCTTTTTTTAATGATTTTTTTTTGCATAGATATATGCCAAAGAAGGCTGAAGTTTTGATCAATGTACTTTAAATTTACCTACAATTGCTCCAGCCCTCACAATAATTATCCAGCATTCATAACACTTCCTCTGCTCCTAGCAGGATACTTTATTGCAATTTATAAAACCAGTGAAATGTATAAGGGTCGTACTGAAAGTCATGAGCAACAATTTTTTGTAAAGTAACATGCTTTATTATTGACAAGCCAAATACACTACCTTAATCTACAGACCTTTCTTTATTTTTCCACATAATCACCATTTCTTTGTACACATTTCTCCTAGCGTTCTGGGAGTTTGAAAATTCCGTTCCAGCCATCCGAAGACACTGACGCACTGTTTTCTGAATTGCCTCCCTTGTCTCAAAACGTTGTCCACGCAGCTTATCCTTCACAAATCCGAAAAAATGGTAGTCGGAGGGTGCCAGATCAGGGCTGTAGGAGGGGTGTGGAAGAACTTCCCACCCCATCTTTGCAATTGCTTCCAATGTGAGGCGAGTGGCATGGGGGCAAGTGTTGTCATGCAGGATGATGATGTTTCGTCCTGGACGTTTATCGTGCAACGAACGACAGAGCTTGTGCAGCATCTGGACATAACAAGCAGCACTGATGGTTTGCCCAGGTTCCAGAAATTCAGCCAGAATAAACCCCTCTGCATCCCAGAAGACTGTGCCCATCACCTTCACAGCTGATGGCACTGTCTTTCCCTTCTATTGTGATGGAGAATGCAAATGGTGCCATTCCATACTCTTCTGTTTTGTTTCAGGCTTGAAATGTTGAAACCAGCTTTTGTCATCTGTCACGATACAGAGCAAAAATCATCGCCTTCATGTCCATATGGCTTTTCACTGACCTTTGTGGTCTTCGGTCAATAACCGCGGGATCCAATGAGCACAACTTTCCTATAGCTCAAGCTTTCAATTATCTCCTGTATGGCACTGTGCCCTATTCCAAGTTTTCAGGCTATTGTGTCCACAGTCACATGCCTGTCATCCTGAATGATCTCATCCACACTTTCCTTGCTGCGTTCAGGTGAGGCTGTTCGAGGACGACCGCTCCGAGGCTCATCTTCGATGCTGGTGTTCCCATCTTTAAAATGCTTCACCCATCTTCAAACACTGCTCACGCCCATGCACACACTTCCATAAGCACGCTGAAGTCTCTGGTGAATTTCTGCAGCAGAAATTTCCTCTTTCACAAGAAATTCGATGACAGTACGCTGGCAAACCAACATATCGTTGTCGGCCATTTTGTTAGGGGTGATACTGGTCACGTGATGCAAGCTATTGACGTCACAAGACACTCAAAGTTAACACAACAGCTGGTTCCACCTACCACTGTACTCTCTTTCGTCTGCTGTTCCCAGGTTGCATGCAAACAAAAGTTGCTCATGACTTTCGGTATGTAGCTTTATCATTAT